GAGCGGAGCAGGGGCAGGGGCCGTGTACAGCAGAAGGCCGCGCCCACCCACCACCTGCTCGCGATGCGACTCCGAGGGAGGGAAGACGGAAGAGGCCCACTGCCCCTCCAGTCACGTGACTGAGCCCTCATTTTAAGGGGTGCACACTGAGACCCAGAGAGGCAGAGACTCATAGAAGGTGGGCGGTGTGGGGCCTAGGACCCCTGACTTGGTCCCCTGTCCTTTCCACCTCTCTCCACCTCACCCATCCCCTCGTCAGCTGCTTTCCCACCTCCTCGGAGACTCGTTCTTCCTCCCTCTGCTCCATGTCAGCAGCAAAGAGGCTTTTCCATGTTTTCCACCAACTCGTTAATGATTTTCTGACCTTCGGTGACAGGCCGGCCTGAAGCCACCTGGACTGGACACTGTGACACACACACTCAGCCCGCTCCAATCTCCCCCCGTGAAGCCCCGAACCTAGAGCAACGGCTCTTCCCCAGGGGCCGAGGCGGCCTGGCGGGTCGCCAGGGCAATGCCTGCCCTTTGCGTAGGACCCCAAGCCTGGACTTCAGCTTCCCGCCGTCCTGCTTTTCCCAAGGGCACAAAGCCCCTTCGCCCAGCAAACCCTGCCGCTCCCCCGCGAACACCTCTGCGTCTTTAAGGTGCAACCTGGGAAACAGCCTCACAAACAGAGACTTGCTCAATCCTCAGAAGCCACGGCCTGAGAGTCAAGAGCGCGGCTTGGGATCTGGGTTCGAGTTAGTGGCCAGGACTCTTTCTCCCTCGGGGGTCACCTTTCAAAACTGCCCCTGCCCAGCAGGAGCCTCTGCCTGGGACGCGTGGGGCCCTGGGAGGCTCCGCCCAGCAGGCCCAGGGCTAGCCCGGAGCTCACAGGAAAGACAGCGCCCAAGCGTTTTTACTTCATAAAATAAAAATAAAACCGACAGCTTTGGCTCATCTGACGGATGGAAGGGACAAGCTGCTGAATGAGGTGGCTAAAGCGTCCGATGCGACGTCACTATGCATATTCTTTTTGGTATTTCTTATTTCCTACTTGTTTGTGAGCCACGAGATTTAACTATAACCATTAGGAGCACAGACAGCAGTGGGCACTTCACAGAATGAAAGATTCTACTAACAGCACACTTAAGGTAATAGATCTTTATTAGGCCTTCCTTTGGAATTAAGAAATAAAAAATATTAGCCTGCCATCTTTTAGAATTAAATTTTAGCCTGCCGTCGCTTGGCCTGGGTAGGAACACCACTCAGGCAGTGGCTGACGCCACCTTGAACGGCTGGAAGTCAGAAGACCAAAGGTCTAGTCTGGTTCCGTGTAAACGTAGGCAAGTTATTCCACTTCTATGTGACTCAGTTTCCTCACTGACCTTTCCTGGGGAACAGTGTGCAATGTTAGAACATGCTCCAAGAAAGACTACAGACCATCAGACACTGATCTGACCCAGTGTTGCTGACAGGACAAGGGGGAGACAGCAGAAAGAGAACACAAAGCCAGCTGCAAAAGAGAAAAGGTGAGCTTTCCAATGACAACCTCACATCCTTTAAAAAAAAAAAAAAAGGATCAGGTGCGAGCCAGGGGCCTTAGCAAGGGCGCCATGGCAATGAGTCCCGGGAATTCTAGCAGCCTTTTCTACAACTGGTGCCGGACAATGGGACAGCCACACGCAAAAGAACAAAGGTAGGCCCCCACCCCACGCCGTCCGCAGGCATCCCTCGGAGGCACTGTGGGTTCGGCTGCAGGCCACTGCAAGAAAGCTGGTACCACAAGAAAGCAAGTCATAGGAGTTTTGCTGGCGGAGGGCCTTCAATTTGTAAAAAATGTAACATCTGCCCTAACCGGTTTGGCTCAGTGGATAGAGCGTCAGCCTGCGGACTCAAGGGTCCCAGGTTCGATTCCGGTCAAGGGCATGTACCTTGGTTGCGGGCACATCCCCAGTAGGGAGTGTGCAGGAGGCAGCTGATCGATGTTTCTCTTTCATCGATGTTTCTAACTATCCCTCTCCCTTTCTCTCTGTAAAAAATCAATAAAATACATTTTTTTAAAAAAAATCTTCTGATTAAAAAAAATGTAACATCTGTGAAGTGCACCAAAACTAGCTACACCTGCACAAAAACTAGCTCAAAATGAATCAAAGATCATTGTGAAAACTAAACAATAAGACTTCTTATAAGGAAATATAAACATAAATCTACTTGACCTTGGGGGGTTAGGCAATGGTTTCTTAAATTTGACACCAAAAGCACAAACAATGAAACAACAAATGGATAGGCCTGGCCGGGCAGGCTGTACTGACAGGCCAAGGTTGCAGGCTCAGTCCCCGATCAGGCGCATACAAGATACAACCAATAAATGCATAAATAAGTGGAGCAACAAATCACTGTTCCTCTCTCTCTCTCTCTCTCTCTCTCTCTCTCTCTCCATTCTTTTCTCTTTAAAATCAATTTTTTAAAAAAGAAAAGAAAAAATGGGTAGTCTTGCATTTCATCAAATTGAAAGAACAACATCAAGGAAGTGAAGACAACCCACAGGATGGGAGAAAATTTTCCACATCATATATCTGATAAAGGACCTGTATCTAGAATATGCAAAGCACTCACATAACTCAATAATAAAAAGACAAATAAGCCAATTAAAAACGGGCAAAGGATAAACATTTCTCCAAAGAAGATATACAAATAGCCAACAAGCACATGAAAAAAAAATGCTCAACATCATTAGCCATCAGGGAAATGAAATCAAAACCACAATGAGATCACTTCACACCCACTAGGATGCTCTCATCAAAAAGACACAGGCGATAGCAAGTGTGTGGAGAAAGCAGAGCCCTCACCCACCGCTGACGGGAAAACGCTGAGCTGCTCTGGAAAACAGTCCAGCAGTTACTCAAAGAGCTAAACATAGTTACTACATTGCCCAGCAACTCAACTCCGATGTATATTCCCAAGAAAAATAAAAACGTGTGTGTACATAAAACTTGTACAGGTATGTTTATAGCTGCATTTTTCATAACAGCCAAAAAGTGGAAACAACTCAAACGTCCATCAAGGGATAAATGGATAACAAAATGCAGTCTATCCACTGGATGAACTATGACTCAGCTAAAAAAAGGACTAAAGTACTGATGACGTTCAGTATGGATGACCCTAGAAAGCAATATGCTAAGTCGAAGAAGCTAGTCACAAAAGACCACATATTGTCTGATTCCGTCTACATATCAAATGCCCCAAATAGGCGAAGCTCGATAAAAAGTAGAC